AGGTAGGGCAGAGATAGACAGGAGTAACATCTATATTTTTATGTACTATGACTTTGAAAATGGGACTAACTACCTATACATAAAAATTGAACTTTAAAAAGATGTAGTTATATAGTGTTAATGATTTTGTATTTTAAAATTACTTTACCTGATTGATGTTGAACATCTTTCATTTGATTGTTGTTCATAATACATGGCTGTTTTCCTGCTCAGTGACGATCTTTGTACTTTTTATTTGTTGATTTCTTTATCTGGTGGAACATGAAGCCTTTGATCATACTATAAAACAAAAATTGAAAGCATAAAATACTCAAAATAATTTCCATTGTTAAAAAGTAGATTTTTTCATTAAACATTTTACCTTTATGAATAGAATAGCATTTTTATATTATTTTCTTATTAATATAAATAGTTTCTTGATAAGTTTGCCGTTTAGTATTTAATAATTATTATTGTCCTCTTTAAATTTCCTTATGCCATTTATTGTTGCCACAGTCAGGCTTAAGGAGAATACAGTTTGAGGCTTTCATTATGTATTTTGATTTGAAAGATGTACATTGATGTTTTGAGTGGAAGTAATTTTTTAATCCACTCTGTGCTATTAATTCTAGTGTGAGACCTTCATTGAATGAACCCAGGCTGAGTGAGGCTGGGTCAGATTTACCTGTATCCAATTTCTGTGATTTCAATCCAGTGTTTATTGATGACCTGCATACTATTTTAGGTTCTTGGTAATGGTAACATATCATAGCACAGAGGCAATAATAATTTCCACTCATATGGAATTTAACTTTTAGTTACAGTGGGAGATAAGCAGAAGACATGTAAGAAATACACAATTGTTGAATGTTGAAATGTTGAAAATGTTGAAATTTCCGAGAGCAATTTACAAATTCAGTATAATTAAAATGCCATGATATTCTTTTTTTTTTTTTTAAAGATTTATTTTTATTATTTTTCATTGGAAAGGCGGATATACAGAGAGGAGAGACAGAGAGGAAGATCTTCCGTCCGATGATTCACTCCCCAAGTGAGCGCAACGGGCCGATACTATGCCGATCCGAAGCCAGGAGCCTCTTCCGGGTCTCCCACGCGGGTGCAGGTTCCCAAAGCTTTGGGCTGTCCTCCACTGCTTTCCCAGGCCACAGGCAGGGAGCTGGAAGGGAAGCGGGGCTGCCGGGATTAGAACCGGCGCCCATATGGGATCCCGGGCGTGCAAGGCGAGGACCTTTAACCACTTGCGCCACCGCGCCGGGCCCCCAATGCCATGATATTCTTTACAGAATTAGAAAAAACAGTCCAAAAATCATGTGTGATCACGAAAGACCCAAGTGATCAAAAAGTAATCCCAAGGAAATCAAGCTGGAACCATCACAATACTGGACTTCCAATTACACAAAGCTGTTGTGATTAAAACAGCAGACATGTGTAGGAAGAAAGACATAAATCAATTGAATAGATTAATATAAATAAATTAATTCAATAGATCAAATGAATCCATTTGATCAACTAAGTTTCAATAAAAGTGCTCAGACATACATTGGAATAAGAACTTTTTCAGCAAATGGTGCTGGAAAAGCAACATGTATATGCACGAAAAATAAATTTAGATCCACACTTCTCACCTTCAATAACAATCAAATCTTTTTCAGTCAAAAACCTTAAGATCTAAGACTGTGATGTTGTTAGAAGAAAATGTAGAAGCATTCCAAGACATTGCTGTAGGTGATCTCTTGCTGAACAAGCCCCTCAAAGTACAGCCTACAAGAGAACTAAACAAATGGTTCATGTCAAAGTGAGAAGCTTTTACACAGCAAAGGAAATGGTCAGTAGAATGAGGAGATGTTCCCCCCAAATGGGGAAAATATATATACGAGTTGCATATGTAACAAAAGATTAGTATCCAGCATATGCCAGTAACTTAAAAAAAAAAAAAAAACAACAACTAAAAAAAGTCAATCCAGTGAAGAAATGGGCAAAAGATCTTGATAGACAATTCTCAAAAGAAGAAATACAGATGTCTCAAAGTGTGTGAAAAAAATGCTCAGCATCACTAGCCACCAGATAAATGTAAATCAAAACCATAGTGAGAAGTCACCTGAACCCTTATTAAAATAGCTGTTATTCAAAAGTCAGTAGCAAGTTCTGGTGCGGATGTGGAGAGAGGGAACACTTATATGCTATTGGTAGGAATGTAATTTTGTGCAACTACTGTGGAAAACAGTATGTAGATTTCTTAAAAAAAAAGAAACTGAAATAGGCTTGCTATATGAACCAGCAATCCCACAGGGTGTGTACCCAAATGACATGAACTTATGGTGTTAAACAGGTACCTACATCATCATGTTTATTGCAGCACAGTCACAATAACTAAAATACGGAGTTGATCAAGGTGTCCATTACTAGATGAATGGTTGAAAATGTGTTGGGTGTACATAGTAGAATACTATTAAAGTATAAAAAGCAATAAATTCTACTATTTCCTTAAAAATGGATGTAACTGGAGGATGTCATGTTGAGTGAGATAAACCAAACACAGAAAGAGAAATACCACATGTTCTCCCTTCCATGTGGGAGAAAAAAAATTAAAAAAGGAAAAGCAAAAAGCACAAAGAAATGTCTGTGCATATCAGTACTGCTGCAAGTATATTTTGACAAGTTTTTTTTCATATCTTGTCATTCCAATTTTAGTATATGTGCTGCTGAAGCGAGCACTCATATCTTGTCAAAAATGGTTAAGAATTTTACACTACCATTTAAGGGGATGTATAATAACTGTGTAGTAGAGACTATCACATACAGATTTGAAGATACAATGCAGTGTGCATCTCTACTTCCAAAGTTGGACTTCCAAAGAAACTGTTAAATGAATCTTGACAGTAGGATACTGGACTTTCTGCCACTGTCCACACCTACAATGCCAGGCTACACTAAAATAGCAGAATGATGGACTTATGACTGATTGTGAAGGACTAGACTATTGTAGTGATATGGGGGAAATCAGTGGAGATTGGAGATTTGGGGAGGAGGGAAGGGAGTTCCCAAAACCTATAAAATTGTGTCATGAAGTAATTAAATAAATATCTTTTTAAAAGAAAGAAAATAAGAGAAATATATTTATCTTTTTAGAAATGAAATCTACTCCATATTAACAAAACAAAATACTTGCCAATTAAAAGAAGTATAAATTAAAAGTTTAAAAAGTAAAATATGTTAAAAAGTAAAAAATATGTTAAAAAGTAAAAGTAAAAAGCACCAATTCTGATCTGAAAATCTTCTTAGTCTTCTTTCATGAATGTAATGAAAAATTTGGATTTTAAAGATACTAAAATATTTTTATATGAGACATTGTTGCTGTCTGTGACTCCTATCTGTGTTTTATGTTGTGATGTGTTATGGTGAGAGATGTGTAGTCAGTTTCTTTATTTCATATTGAAGCATAGTTCTTTGTAATTCAAGTAAGCAACTGTGTTAATTGATGAAGTTTACCCTCTTAATGAAATATAAGGGTAGAATTAATTTTAAATTCAAACTGCCTGTATTATAAATTTGAGTTTGTCTTGGCTGTATGTAATATGTTATGTCATATCATAACCCAGCTTGATTTTTTTAAAGCATTTTCTATATTTATTAAAATTAACTTTTGGGAAAACATTCAAAAATAACACTATCCAAAAATACAATGGAAAAATCGTGACTGCTGAAGAAATTATTATCAGCCCTACTAAAACTCAGTGTGTGTTATCAGTGTTAACATTGTTCATTAGGACTGTTAACATAGTTTTATTTGTTAGATATTTTGTTAAGACTAGCTTTGTTTTCTAGCTACATTATTCTGGTGTTAGCATTCAAAAACCCTAAAAATGGTTCCCCTTTCATTTGGTATATGATTTTTTTTCAAAGCATACCTCAAGTATTAATGTATTGTCTTCCAGAAGAGAGATTTTGTCATCTGATGGCAAATGTCCTTATTTTACCTTTTTTATTCAAATGTCAAGTTTCTTATTGTACTGTGGTAACCAATGAACGCTAGCATCAGTATATGTACAAACCTTTTGCATGGTGACTGAATGAGAATGAGAACAGAGTGAATGCTATTCACAGCGTGAAGTGGGAGCCAGGACTTCATGTGCTGTCTTTATCTTTGCAATAAGCTGTATTTAGATAATGAATTTACATTTAGTCAAAAAATAAGGATTAGTATTTTCTCATCCATTCTTTTTGGTGACAATTAACTCAAGGTAGTTTTTTAAAATTTTAACACCTCAAGTTACTATAGTGTATTTTGTCTAAAAAGATGTTTGACGTCTTTGAAGGGCACTTTGATTCATAAGGCAGAAGCAGCCCCCTCTGACTTTCCCAGGAGACTTCCAGGGTGTGTTTTGGCTACTGTAGGTAATAATTTCCCTCCTCCTACTCCCTGTTCATTATACAACTGCAAATAGGAAAAATAGTGATGGGTAGTTGAGCAGAATCAACTGTCATCCTATTGTATTGAAATAACCAATGTTAATATTTTGACAAATGTCTTTTTACTTTACAAAACAGGCATATTTTCATAAAAATGGGCTTACTGTGCAAATTGTTTTATAACCTGCTCTTTTCACTTGACAATGTATTGCAAATACTTTTGTCAGTTCATTCGTAGTCTTTTGCAGTTGTTATTTTTCTATTGTATGATTTTCATTTATTCACCAGACATGTTAGCTATTTACATCTTTTCGCTTACAAACAACAATTCACTGAAAAAAAGTTATTCACCAATATTTATGATATACTATTCACACAAGAGAGATCTACAAGCATGGAGACTAACCAGAACCCATTTATGTGTGTTTTTTTTTTTTCACTTGTTTGCATGTTTTAAGATCAGGTTTTTATTTGTTTGTTCCTTGCAAAACTTGGGGCTGCAAATTTTGGTAAAACTTAAAATGCTGCCTAGTCCTCATTGCCTATTTGCTTTGCCAGTCTATTCATGAAAGTTCCTTTTCATGTTTCAGGTGCTGGGAGCTTACTGCTGAAGACAAGTGGATTTATCAAGCCCCCATTCTAGCAGCAATTGGGGTAAGTTTAAAAGTTTGTGTAGTTTTCAAGAAAGTAACCAAACTCCTTTTAAAACAGAGAAAGTGTGTATGTTTGTTTAATTTATTCTACAATAGGTTTGAGAGTTTAACACAAACAGCAATAACTGTTGGGAGAGTTGGGGCTACAGATTATACTGTTTTATGAACATTGGGATCTATGTCAAAAGCATGTTTCCTTTTGTTGATCTGCTACTACATGGAGTTAATTTCTAGTCTTAAATATACCTGTGAAAATTTGTGTATAGGGAGTTCAAAGGTAAAATATCATTCCTTTTCCAACTGCTGTGTTGTATCTCCTTTTAATGTTTAGTTCATGGCGATGAGTAAGAAATATGGAATAGCAGGAGAACAACAAATGACTTTCTGGGAAAGAATTATAGTATGATTCATTCTAAAACTTTGTTTACTATTTGAAATATGTCACCCAGATGTTAAGTGCATTAAATAACAAAAATACGAATTTTAGAATTTTTTAACTGTGAAATGTGCAGTTGAGATTTTGATAGGGATTACATTGTATCTGTATATTTCTTTGGATAGTATTGGCATTTTATACTAATTAAAATTTTAACTGCATCTTTAAGTTTACTTGAAGTGAACATATTTCATATATGCACACTTAAGAGCATAATGGTCATTTTCCACCCTGTCCTCCCTTCTAGCCCACACTCCCATTGTCTCTTCTTTTTCCTTTCTTATATTTTTTGTTTCCATTTTTGCTGTGAAATACTTTCAGTTAATAATCACAAAACTAACTCCACCAACTAAAGAATTCAACAAGTAGTAGAGAAATCACTGTTTCTCAAGAGTATAGACAAGATCTCTAAGTAATAACCAAATCTCAAAATGTCAAGTTTGCTTATATATATATATATATATATACATATTTTGTGCTTTGCATATTAATTACCCCAAATCAGGGGAAGTATATGATATGTGTCTTTCTTGGACTGGCTTGATTCACTAAACATTATTGTTTCCAAATTCATTCTTTTGTTGCAAAAGACCTGAGTTCATTTAAAAAAATGATTGAGTAATATTTGTAATGTATATATAGCACATTTCCTTTATCAAGTCATCAGTTGATGGACAGTTGGTGGGTTGAGGCCATGTATTAGCTATTGTGAATTCAGCAGTGGTAAACATGGGAGAGAGATAACTCTTTCCTATGCTGATTTCATTTATTTTGGGTAAATTCTGAAGAGTGAAGTGATTGGATCATATAGTGGATTTGTTGTCGTGTTTCTGAGCAATCTCCACTACCTAGTATAATGCATGTACTAGTTTACATTTCTACGAACAGTATATAAGTACTTCCCAATGTTTATAATTTTTAAAATTTTGGACGATAGGCATTCTAGGTTTAATGAAGTGAATCTCTCTCTCTCTCTCTCTCTCTCTCTCTCTCTCTCTATATATATATATATATATATATGTATCTCTCTCTCTCTATATATATATGTATATATATAAATATATATATACATATATATATATATATATGTATATATATATACTAATCTCCTGCATTTCATTGATACCTGGTGGTGCTGTTCATGTATCTTTTGGCTATTTATGTCTCATCCTTTGAGGAATGTGAGTTCATGTCCTTTGCTTATTTATTAACTGGATTTTTATTTTGCTGTTGGAAAGTAGGGGTTCTGTCTTATCCGTTTGCGTGGAGATTCACTTTTCCCTACTTGATTGACTGTTTTGATTGTTACTGTCCTGTAATATATATTGACATTTAGTATTATTATGTCTTGGCATTGTTTTTTATTGTTTAAGATTGCTGCAGATATTTGGGATTTGTTGTATTTTCATATGACTTTTAGGAAATCTGGATCTGTGAATAGTGTTTGGTTCACATGCAATGTTTGTATGTTTTTATGAACTACTTTCTGATATTTCAACCCATATGTACAGCATGAACTGACTGAACCAGGAAACTAGTCTCTCCATGTCCTTATTTTTTTTTCTTATGATGGAAGTCTTCCAGACCCTCCCTTTCAGCTTTTTCATATAGTAATACTGCATTGTTGAGAACTATAGGAGGCCACTGCATTATGGGCCTGTGAAATTCACTTACATCTCATTGTATTTTGGAACCAAATATGCAACTTCTTTCTGTCCTCACCCTCCACATCCTTTCAGCCTGTAGAACATTACTATTCTAAGTTCTTTGTAACTCTTTAAGGCCCTCTCCTCAGTCTAAATTATCACCTATTCCAGTTCCCAGAGCACAGTGAGATTTTTCTTCTGAATATCACCATGCTGTATAACATTTTTGGCAGTTTGTTCATCTTGCTCACTAAATTACAAGGTTTATTGTATAAGAATAATTTATTTTTTTCCAGTTTTTATTCCTAGTATTAAGTGAATTTCCTGGCACATAGTAGCCAGTCAGTTAATATTTGTTGAAAAAGCTAGACCTGCATGCATAATTGATATTCTAGGGAACTGAGAACACAAAACAAGTAAATTATAGAACTTCAGAATGCTTTTCATTTTCTAGGGAAGGAAATGGTAGCTCATGCAGGTAATAGTCATATGGTTAGAACAACAAAGAAGAGCTATTACCTGCATTTCCCCCCACTATGTCCTTTGCATGTCCATTCCACAACATACCTAGCTATTTCTTGAATTTACAGAATATTTTTTCCATCTATTTGACAATTGTAATTTCAGAGAATATATTAACTTTAGGGTAAAGTTTTTTTTTTAACCCAAAAATCTTGTATTGTGCGTGATATGGCCTTATGTGAGTAGATATGTTACTGAACAATCAGTTGGAATTACAACCCTGAGTCTGCTTGCTGATTGACACTGGGATGGTAGAAAAGTAGGTATTCATTGCAAAGCGTGAAACAATGAGGCAGACAAGTATTTCTTAGTTCCTGTTCTCCCAAGGAATTAGAGGTGAAGAGTCTTACAGGTTGGAACTGGGGCTGAGAGATGCTTCTTCAGCTCATGTCCAGGCTCCTGGTTGGTCAGTGGTGCTTGTGACTTTCTTTTGGTTGAATGGTGATGTGCTTTTTAGGGAATTTTTGATGGCTGGGTGGGCTTAGTTGGTCTAGTAGTAGGAAGGTGGGGTTACAACCAAGTTATTACCTTCTGTCTCAGGCTTGGGGTTTCCCTGCTTGTATCTGGTATCCTACCAAACAAACCGTGACAATATCGGTCATGAGTTTTAGCTATTGGCTCTTGAGTCTGGTGGTTGTGTTGGCCATATTTATCACTCCCTCAATTCAGAGAATTCCCTTTGATAAAGGTTAGGCAAAACACCTTGCACTAAGGGATACAGATGAGAAGCTGTGTCCTGCTTTTACATTATAGGAGTTTGGTCTTGTATTTCATGTGTGCTATCACAAAATTATATACTCAAAAATTTAAACTCACATTGGGCTGCTTATTTCATTCTAACAGTATAGGTTCTGTTAGTAGGACATCTATTTATCTTTGGATGATCAAATGTGCTCAAAATTTCTAAGTGATATACAAGGTAACCTAAATTTGAACGTGTGAAGAATTGTAATGTATGGTCAGAAAAGTCATACTAAAATAAATCAATTTTCAAGGTAACTACAGATTTCAGTATAGACCCAGAAGGAACCAGTGATTTCAGAATTGTAGGACCTAATATAATAATAATATCCTAGGCATAGATGGGAATTGCAAGAGAGAGGGTAGTTTTACAGATATTTAATCACAGTCAGCTTCCTCTACCTAAAGGCAGACTTCTTTTTCTGATTGTATCTATTATGAGACTTACCTAGAAGTGAAAATTCTATGCCAAAGGGGATAGTCTAACTTAATCACAATATCAGTAGTGTTTAGCATGTGCATCTCTCATTGGGTCATTTACACTGTCATTCACTTATTACATTCTGATTAGGCAGCAAGAACATCTCAGGCCTTGTGAGACCATGCAAATGGGAGGCAGAGGAGAAACACCCTGGTTTCTCTTCACAATGATTAAGCATAATCATTGAGGCACAAATTTAAATACAAATGATCTGGTAGGGGATGAGCATCAGGCACAACTTCTGAGAAGACATTCAGACTTATGCCTGACAATGCACTGAGCTGGTGAGGCTGAGTAAGTGGACAGATGGAGGAGTAGGAACCTGGCATAGGAATCTCCAAAAGCAGTCTCAGAGGTAGGAGGGCCTGAGGAACCAGAGTTCCTGGGTGCAAGCCAACCTCATGGTTTGGTGTATGGTTCATGCCAGATAAATCTATCTATCTATCTATGAGAGAGAGAGAGAGAAACTTGTATCAGCTGGTTCACTATTTGCAATGACCCGTCGAATGGAGCTCAATTCAGGCTTTGAGCCATCATCTGCTGTCTTCCATGTGGCTCATTAGCAGGATGCTGGAATAGATAGTGAGGCTAAGACTTAGACCCAGTACTCTTGAAATGAGATGTGCATATTCTAAACTGTGTCTTTAATACTGGATCATACATCTGCCCCCTAAATCTCTGAGAAAGAATTTCACTTCTATTTTTGTCCTACTTAAAAAAAAGATCTTACAGAAAATTCACTGTATGTTTATTGGCTGTAATGGTTCTAACGATCATTTTATCCCACTTCTCTCTCTCTTAAAACTTTTTCTTTTCCTTGTAGTTTGCTTGAAACAGAACTTCAAGCAAATTTTTTCACTCAAGAAAGTTGCATGAAACATGCGATATTTCTCTACATGATCTCTCTTGAACTTGTTTTTTAGACTCTTTAAAAAATAACAATAAATGACTGAATCTTTAATCTGGCAATTAAGATGCCTGTGTTCTGTATCAGATTAAGGGGATTTGACTCCTAATTTTAATTCCTGACTCTTCGTGTCATTTTGAACTTTGATCAATAGGTGATAACTCACTTGGGCCCTGGATGCACTAGGTAGGAGACCTAGACTGAGCTTCAGATTTGCACCTGCAGCCCAGCCTAACTCAGCCCTAGCAGGATGTTGGGGGTATTTGGGAGGGTAAACTATCCAATGGGAGCCTTCTCTTGCTCACTCTCCTGCCTCTTTTTCTACCTCTTTCATCCTCAAATAAAAAATATAGTTCAAATAATATTGGTACCATCTCATCAAATGCCTCCTGTTGGTGTATATTGCCATGACCCCATCTGTAGGCTTGGGTCTTTTTTTAATGACTTGTTTTCTGGTATGATTTCATTTGCTGACTCTGCTTACCATTATCTTTTCTACTTGAAGAGAGGTAATGTGTTTGGTGGTGGTTGGTTACAACCCTCTGTGTAATCATTTTATCCTTCATTATACAAATCTTAGTTCTTTTCCTCAGTTTGGGAGGACTCTCAAATACCTTAAATTGATGAATCTACTTCCTGTTCTGTCAGATCCATTGTTTGCTATACCCAACATTGCTTTTAAAACTTGGCTATGGTTTAGATTCTTTTTTCATTTTGTTGTGAAAAAAATACATATATATATACAAATATATTATTTATATATAAATGATATATAATAATTTTATATAAATAATATATAAACATTTTCATATATATTTATATAAAACATAAAATATAAATATTTATAAACATATAAATATATTTACATATAGATATATAAATACATAAATATATACAAACTTATAAATATAAATTATATATTACATAAATATAAATAAACATATAAAATACAAATGTATAAAATATCTGTATTATATATTATATAAAACATATAATTATAATATATAATTTATATATAACAATGTATACTACTTATATATAAATAAAGAATTTTAAAAATTACAAATATATATACAAATATACAAATTTTATTACAAATATATATATTTGTAATATATATTATATATTATATAATATATTTTATATATTTGTATATATAAAAATTTGTTTCTTTATATTATTATAATTTTATGATACAGTTCCATAGTCCCTGAGATTTCTCTTATTCTCTCCCCAATTCCCTCCTCCCTCACTGAGGTTTCCTCACATCTGGATATTATAGTCTCATTACACAATTACTATACATTCCTTTAAATGAAAAGCCACAATACAAAATCCACAACAGGAAGAAAAAAAAACCAAATTAACAACACCATGAAGTTAAATAACATGCTACTGAATGACTAATGTGTCACTGAAGAAATCAAAAAGAAAATCAAGAACCTTCCTGAAGAAAATGATGTTTCTGTATGTATCGTAACTGTACTGGAAACAATGCAGCATGCATCTCTACTTCCACATCAAAGATGAACTCCCAATGAAACTGTTTACCGTATCTTGACAATAGAATGCTGGGGTCCCTGGCATTGTCCATGCCCGCAATGATGGACATGTGACTGCGTATAAGTAATTGTACTATTGTAATGATATAGAGGAAGTGGGTGGGTGGGGGAAAATTGGGGAGGGGATTAAAGTAATCCCAGGAGCCTATGGAACTGTATCATAAAAAGATGATAAGAATAAAAGAGAGATATGGGACTAGCAAAAAAAAAAATTCAATTCAGTTGCCTAAGCTGGGGACCATTTCTTATACAACATTTTTCTTTTGCCTTAAACCTTGATATACTATTCCCAGCGATTTTCATACATTAACGGGAAACAATACTTTCTCCTAAATGACTTTGTTATTTCTTTTAATAAAAATAAAAAGATTCTGGAAATTAGTTCATTTTAATAAGTCAATAATTAATTTCTACAATAATTATTCTTTTTTACTGATTGTTTTCCATGAGATTTCCTTTGAGCCTTGGTTTGGAAATTCTTGTGGCTCTTCGTATTACCCTGTGATATTTCTGATTTCCGGGGCTGTTGGAGCTTGTAAAACTTTTGTGTGTTTTTATGAAGGCAAAACCAGAATCTCTATCCTTCTAGTATCAGTGCGTTACATCCACATTTATGAAATGAGCAATGATCAATCTTTGAATACAAGTAAGTTCAATGTATGTAGGTTTTTATAAACATTCTGCAGGCTAACTATTTTGTGATATTACCTTTTCTTTCAGCTGAATTTTATTCTGTTTCTGAACACAGTTAGAATCTTGGCTACCAAGTTTTGGGAGACCAATGCACTTGGGCATGACATGAGAAAGCAGTACAGGTAATTCCAAAAACAAGCACGCATCAAAGGAAGCATTTTGGTTATTATTTAAGGAACAAATCTTAATGTCTATTGGGAGATATGAACTGTCTGAAGTGTCTGTGCAAGACTAAGCATAAATATTTGTGTTGAGTTGAATTTTGTGGCTTATTAGAAAAATAAGTTTTTTTTTAAAAAATTTAAAAATGTAAAACCTTCACAATGTGCTGAAATTTAATATATATCTAAAAATATGTTCTGAGCATATTTGTATTTTCTAATAAATAAAATTAACCCCCCAAATAATTAGTTGATGATCTTGGAAAATTTTATCTTTTTTGTAAAACCATTTAACTGAAAATGAAACACATTACTACAAAGTGAAGAAAGTGAATGTGCTGTATTGTCTCTAACTTTCAAGTTGGTACCTACCCATTATAATTATTTTAATTTCAAATGCACAGATTTAAGGGGATTCATTACTTATTCTTGTATGAAGAAAAGAGAAAGTTGAATGTTTGTAATCTCTATCAAAATGTTTTAACGGTGTGGCCATTTCTTATAGTGATCATTTTAGAAATTCTAAATAGTAGTCAAGAGCCAATTATACACAAATGTCCAATATTGAAATGGATATGGATTAGTTCAGTTGAGAGGGAAGGAGGAAGGGAAGAACAGAGAGAAAAAACACATATACAAAACACACACTCACACACTGAGGCTTATTCCTCAGATGCGTGCAACAGCTGGGGCTACACTAGGCCGCAATTCAGAAGCTGGAAACTTGGACTCAAGCACATGAGTCACCATTTGCTACCTCCCAAAGTGATTAAGAAAGAATGAAAGAAGGGAAGAAAGGAAGGAGAAAGGGTGAGTCATTACATTTTTAAAAGAAGATTTATTTTTTATTGGAAAGATAAAGTTACAGAGAGAGGGAGAGACAGAGAAAAAGATCTTATGTCTACTGGTTCATTCACAAATGGCTGCAGTAACTTAAGCTGATCAGAAGCCAGGAGCCAGGAGTCTTCTCCAGGTCTTCTATGTGGGTATATGGTCCCAAGGCTCAGACCCCTCTCTGATTTCTTAGGCTACACATAGAGAGCTGGTTGGGAAGTGGAACAGCTTGGACCCTATTGGATTCCAGTACTTGAAGGCAGAGGAGTAACCAATTGAACCATCTTGTTGGTTCCAATTTATATGCTCTTGGAACTGTATTTTTGAACTATATTGAATCTGTTTATCCACCCTCCCCCCCCCCCCCCCCGCAACACACGGAAAACCAAAACAAAACCCTCAGGCTTAAGACAGAACTTCCAAAATGAGTGGACTGTAGTTAAGTTAGGATATAAGGTTGAACAACTTGTAGCAGTGCCAGGAAAAGCCAAAAGACTACAGGGCAAACTTTGTGAAGCAAAGTATTCGGCTTTGTGCCAAGAGGAGCAGATGGCTTAGACACTATTGGAAGGTAAGACACGCAAAGGGAGATGGCATGGAGCCGATGACAAACCCCAGATGTTTAAATTAGGCATCTCATCATGTAGGAGTTGGATTGAGGGTTGAAGCAGGAAATTGTATATATGATGGAAATTTTGTCTAGTAAAGCCATAGACTCTCAGGGCTCTTAGAGAATTCCAGGCGCTAGTCCCTAACTTTATAGGCAAGATGACTAAATCGTGATTCACACCTGGCTTTAACATCAGGTATAGAAGCTGAGCTGAGTTGTAGATTTATTTCAGTGTGATCTCAAGTCACCTAATAGATTGTTTACAAAAAGAAAAATCAACAGATAAAGCAGCTGGAGGAGACCAGCAAGAAAAGAAGGTCATGATGAACTCATGGCATAAATTATTTTGAACAAGAGAGATATTTTAGAAATAAGAAACAAGCCACTTTTTTGTTTTTTTGCAATTTCTTAGATAACCATACACATGAAAAAACTTCCCTCACACGCAAAAAAAAAAACCCCAAAAAACCTTTAAAACAAAAGTCAACAACCATAAAATGATTTGCTTGAATGTTTTAACTAGTTATGTCTGTAAAATGAATTGCCACAAACTTAATGACTTAAAACACACTTGGTATTTCAAAGTTTCTGTAGGTCCCATTTTGGACTCTTCCAGTTGGGATGCCATTGGGCCTGTGATCTTAAAATTGGACTAGGGAGGGTTTCACTTCTAAGTTCTTGTGATTTTTGGCTTACTTTGTCAGAAAGACAAAGAAGAGAATTTGCAGATAAAATGAAAGTTAAACAACAATCATGAAAGTGGCACATCCTACTGTTATTGCCATAATCTGTGAATTATGCCATAATAAGTGAATTCCTGGTCCTGCGTATGCTCACTGAGTGAACATTAATGATGGTGGAAATAGGAGGACGTGGGATATTGGCAGTCACTTAGAGTAAGCCAAATGCATTAGCCGAGGTTCTTGAGAGACCAAATAAAAAGACACAGATGTATATTCATCGATACATATGGGTGTATGGGGGGGTGGGCATTTAGAGGGATTAGCTGATGTGATTATGAAAACCAGGGATGCCAATGTAACTCTGAAGTGAAGTACTGAGAATCTAAGGGGCTGCCTGACCAAGGGAGTAGGGTACTCCAACTGTAGGAGAGTTAATTCATCTTTCCTCTCCATCATCTTCTCATAAATCCACCCCCCCCATTACATTGGACAATTTCTGGCCACATTGAGAATGAGTGTTCTTCACTCAGTTCCCTTACAGAGGAAACGGTCTCCTCTGAAAATAAGGCTGATATACCAAGAAATAATACTTTGCCACTTCTCTAGGGATTCCTTAGCCCTGCCACACAGACATCTAAAGTTAACTACCACATTATCATTTGAGAAAACTCAAGATTTCTCCATATGCACAAGAAAATTTTTATGAAGAGGCAGATAAGGGAAATTATGTCAAACCATCTTGCAAAAAATCAAAACTATAAAATAGAACCATAGGCATTTTGAGATAGAATATTTGACAGGGAATAGCCAGAGAGACAAGAGGACTAAGTCAGATGTAGCTCAAAGAAAGTGTAACATGTCCCTAGGAATAATCATCAATGATAAATGAAGAATTAAGACACAAGAAATAAGAAATAAGAAGCAGCTTATTTTAAAATGCTGTCTATGAAAAGAAAGGCCATCAACACAGATGGAGCTAATGCTTTTTTAAGTTTCACCAGAAGTTCAAGTTTTGAGACAAGAAATCAAAGCATTTCCAATTTATTAAATATTGTACATTAAGCAAGCAAAATAAATATGATAGAGAACATTTGGGGAATACTCATGATAAGAAGAAACCACCTGAAGTAGTGACAGAGGTGGGGAGGATGAAAAGCTAGCAGAAGTGTTGGGACCAGAGAGAGCTGGGGCAGTCATCGCTATCAGCCCAGCTGTTTCTGTTTTCTCCACACACTGTTGGTTCTGAATGGCATGCTAGGTTATTAATGAAAAGGTTTGTTCTTATCTGCAGGAAACTCGCCAAGTCAACGCTAGTGCTTGTCTTGGTTTTTGGAGTGCACTACATCGTGTTCATTTGCCTGCCACACTCCTTCACTGGGCTTGGCTGGGAGATCCGCATGCACTGTGAGCTCTTCTTCAACTCCTTCCAGGTAAGAAGTGCTGCCTTGTTGCCTGATTCTTGTGACTTGCATCCTCTACACTGTCCCTGGCAACTTTTCCCCTCTTTTCCTCTCTCTGGCTTTGATGCACCTGTCTTTCTTGCATCATGAAAGGGTAAAATTGTAGGATACTGTGCTTTTCTGTCTCATAGTACTTAGGTTAATCCCTGGAGTACAGCAAGAGTGATTCTGGAGCTGTTTCACACACAAATCTTGGCAGCAAGATAAGGAGGCTCACTGTTGTTAAATATATAACACCTTATGAGTAGAGACCTCTGAAAATAAATAGATTAGAAAATAAATGAGAATGAAAAAGGTGTTGGCATGGAAAAGGAATGAAAAGGGAAGGGAGGCACAAAGAGGAAGAGGTTGCTGTCACTGATGTATCTCATTTGGAAGTGTGATATGCTGTCATTTCCCATGTGGATTATTCTTTGCTCACTCATTTGCTGTCTTTTCTTTCTTTCTGCTGCCTTAAAACTTAACATGGCAATCTAAATAATCTTAACAATAGCGATCTGCTTATGTCTTTTACTTGCTGAACACATCCAAAAGTTTTCTATTGCTCTCAGAATAAAACCCAAATGCTGGCTTCTGGCCTACACAACTCCATGTGCAGAGCAACCTGCATGACTCATCCATGCTCCAAATTACCTCCTAAGTTTTCACTGTCTGGTTTCTTCTACATTTGCTGTTTCTCTAGACCTTGCAGTCTCAGAAGCCGACCCTTCTTGTCTCCCTAGCCTGGAATGCTGTCTCCCCACCGGTATTCACAGAGCTGACTTCTTGCCTTTGTCATTCTAACACTCTAACCAGCTTAAGAGTCTTTGATAAGGTCCATATCTAATATATCCACTCCAAAGTTCTTATTACCATCACTTATTTATATGCATAAACCTTATTGTCTTATTTTTTCTCATATGAATATTTGTTTGTATTTTTTCCATGCCTCTTATTTCAAAACAGGGATAGACACACACGCAGCAGCATGTTCTATCCATTCAATACTATTTTTAGATGAACATTATTTTTTGTGTTCTTATCCTGTACTATTATATGTCCATAGTTTTTAACATTAAAAGTTTGTGTATAAGTATCTTTCACCAAATAGAGGATGGAAGGTATGTGATCATTGAGTGCTAATATCAAATCTAATATAATAGAAATAGCTTTTTAAGTCATATATTTAGACACTTGAGTGCAAGCACGTGAGTTGCAATTGGATTAACCTTCTTTTTTGGTTCTGCAGGGTTTCTTTGTGTCAATCATCTACTGCTACTGCAATGGCGAGGTAGGTGTGCCAGAAGGGACCCTGGACACCCTGCAGTCTAGCTCTAAGTTAGCAGTGTATTAGTCAGCTTCATGCCACTGTAACAGAACACCTGAAATTACATACTTTATCAAGAACAGGAATTTATTTATTACAGTTCCGGAAGATGGGGAGTTCAAAGTTGATGAACCCACACCTGATGAAGTCACGTCACCCCCATGGTAAAAGACAAGAAGGATGGGGAGCATTTGAAGGAAAGGAGGAAATGAAAGGATTAAGTCCACAACCTTAAGTCGCTTATAATTGGCCTTAACCCATTCATGAGAGTGAAGCCCTCACGATGTTAGCATCACCCGTTAGGATCCACCTCTTAACATGATTGCATTGGAGATTAAGCTTCCAACATGTAAGCACTGAGGTCACATCCAAACCATAGCAGGTATCAATGGCCATCACAATGTGACCTGTATCTCTTTAGAGGATTTCCAGGAGTTACAAGACAGAATGGAAAGGGATAATCATAAATTATCTTGATGGAGCAAGAATTAGTCTTTGTAGCCCAGCACTTTTAAATGTTGGTTATAAGCTCTGATGTTAAACATATTTTAGTAGAATATGAGTTAATAATTGCTTGGACAGTGAACTGCTATTTCAGTCAATACTGAGATTTTTATTGTTTCACTTGTTATAAGAAATCAAGTATAAGTTGTCCTGTGCCAAAACCATTCAAATATTTTTATAATTTTTAAATGATAAGATGGTGTCAGTTCTTTTAGGGTTTGACTGAAGAGAAGTAACCTCATTGTATGATATCTTTAACATTCTTTTAGCTCGTCTTGCTGTTGGATAAGACGGCTCCTCTCTTTTCTCCAATTTTAAACTTATTACTAGTCCCTTAAATGCAAGACACTTGTAACCCTCAGTGACCCAGATGACATCCACATTCGAGTTTGGTTGTATTGGCATTTTTCAGACCCTGCAGAGACAGTTTCAATTAATGAGTAGTTCATTAATTCCATGATTTACCTCTGTATTTGCTTTTACCTTATTTGTTGGTGGGGCAAGCAAGTCAGAAGAACAGAAGTTAGATGTTTCAGGTGATACTAGCTTTCCAGGGTTCCCCTGCTTCCCATTCATCTAAGTCTCTTCTGGAAAGGGATGACAGCAGTAGAACTGAGTCTCCAATAGAAGGATTAGAAACAAACAAGGGCCCCATCCTGACGCTTCTTGCTTTCCACCTACACAAGAATTGCCTCTGATTTGTCTTGGTTGGTCTGTCTTCCAGATCCTTTCTTTACTCTTTTTTTCCCTTTTTTGGTGTGGATACACAAATAGAGTATGGCAGTTAAGTTTCATGTTGTGTACTTTCCAAACCTTCTTCCTCTTCAGCTGGTGTCAAAATTGCTACATGTTACAGCAGTGATAATAGAGCATATTTAGTAACACTTGACAGTCAGAGAAGGAGCTGAGCCCATTTTCAACGGGCGCTCATAGTCTGGGCATTTTAAAGGAAGAGTGATGGGGTGGGAGTTGTGAGGGATTAGTAGAGTCAAAAACAGTGAAACATTACAAAGACTCATTCAGTGTGAACATGATTAGGCACTGTGTCTGCTAACTGAAAGTTATCTAGGATAGAGTCCCACCCTTCCACTGAGAATGGAGACATCGTCCAGTCCAATCTATAATCTATTAATATTGCACTTACTGGCCACCATTTCAACTAGAGAGTACTCTTCAGCTTTCACACTCATACACAAAAAATATAACCGATGACTCCATAATAAACTTCAAAATCTCCTCTATTTCTTACATTTGCCCTACATCTTCCATATATATGTAATATTAACCAAATCCTCATTATACAATTTCATCCATAGCTATACACATTCAACACAATATTAAATTTTGTTTTTTTTAATCCCAAATCATATCACATCAACTAATCTATCATTAAAAATTCATTTCAATCATCTCCTTCATCTTCTTTTTTAATACACTACTCCACCTAACCTCAAATCACCCAGTCACCAACAAACAATAATATAACCCACACCCCACACCCCCCCCAACCCCCCCCCTCATCATAACCAAAACACACCAAAAACAACACCACTTAAAAAATATAACACCCAACACACCCATCCAAACAATAATTAATAAATACGTTTTTCTATTTCCCCACACTATTCAAAAAGTTCAAAGAAGAAGCTCAGTCACTGACTGTGGCTACTATTGAAATCAAGATAGGCATCCCTGTGGCAAGGTTGCAGGATCTGCTTCATCCTGTCTGATGCACATCGTGTTTCCTGTGGTTTAGGTTCAGGCTGAGGTGAAGAAGCTGTGGAGCCGTTGGAACCCATCCCTGGACTGGAAAAGGATGCCACCATGTGGCAGCCATAGATATGGCTCCGTGCTCACAACCGTGACTCACAGCTCCAGCAGCCAGTCCCAGATGGCAGCCAGCACTCACATAGTGCTCCTTGCAGGCAGAGCCTCCAAGCCCATCCCCAGGCAGCCTGACAGCCATGTGACGTTACCTGGCTATGTCCGCAGTAACTCTGAACAGGAGTGCCTGCCACACACAGTCCAAGAGGAGACCGAGGAGGGTCATGAGCACCAGGTATTTGGTGCTCCAGTGGCTGAGAGTTTTGGAGCACTGGAAGTCAACCCAGACGCTGAAGGATGCAAAGGTGTCACTGAGGATGCTGTTTGAGCCATCACTCGTGGCTTTTATGGGCTCGTGGGACTGGGTGTGTGAAGAAGGTTGACTGGTGCTCTCCTGCTTGTGCCTGAAAATTGCAGATCGTGGGCTGAGACATTGTTCAACATGTTTTCAGGTTCCATGAATTCATTCTTAAACACTAACAACACAAAAAGACCAAGCATCAGTGGAGTGGTTTTCTAACTTCTTTTGGCAGAGCTTTGTTTTCTGAATTGAGGTGTGAAACCTGCTCGATCAACTTTTGTGCTACTTTAGGGTAGAAACAACTTCTTTTGCTTGATTGTACCATTCTGTCATGATTATCACACTATAATAGAAAGTGATATGTGTCAATTTCCTTTAAGAAGTCGGTGATCATTTTTTCTCTTCATGATTTTACTTTATTCTTGTTGCATTCGTTTTGTTTGTGCATTCAGTGCTTTTAGAGACTGCAAAATGTATCTTAAAAGACTAAGGTTATAAAAACAAACACACTGGGAAGTTAGCTGGCTGCACTTTGATAAAATGATAAATCTGTGACAATTAAGATTGATTCTTTCCAGGAACAAGGACATTTACTCAAGAAGGAATATTTTACACATCACTTCTTTCAAATGTTTCCTTGCAACTAGCCAAATCCCTGTTAATAAGTGATGACATTTCAAAAGCTTTTTTTCCCAGTGTGATTATATCTGCAAAGTAATTTTTGTTTGTAATAATTCAAACTGATTGTAAATTTCGGTGTCTCTATCCTTTTTTTTTTTGTTGTTCCTTATTCTGCTACAAATGGCATGGGGGATAAATTAAAAGTTTGTTTAAAAATACAATTTGGGTCACTTTTCTATAATTTCCTTTTGAGTGCACCACACAGAACAAAGTTCCCTTCTGAAAAGCTGTAGTTATTAGCATTTAATAAAAACTTCCAATTATGATGTAGTTAAGAAAAGGTAAGTTATGGGAAATAAAAAAATAACTCAAAGTGATGTATTTCCAGGCAAAATGACACAGACAATGCTGATACATGCCAATCTATTGAATGATTTAACCAACATGCAAGCAGTGAAGTGACATTGTCTTAATTTAACTCTCTCTCTCTCATTTTATTATGAAAGTCATTATTAGTCGTTGCAGCAGAATAATAGACTAGATCTGTTTTCGATATTATGAAAAATAATGAGTTCTTAAGTTTTTACTTACAAAATGTCAGGCTGTCTAACTGCTTGGGCATTTGTAGGCATGAAGAAAAGAGAGTAGCCAAAGTTGTCCTTCAGGTTTGTTTTTCCTCATTTACTCCCAACATTTACTTAGAACCTGTGATGTGATGGATGGCATTCAAGCTGAAGCTGCCGCAAGAACAATGAACGAAGAACCACTCAGTCGCTAAGGCTGTTTGTCTCCCTCAAGTGTGTGCATCTGATTTCTGCCAGGTTTTGGAAATGTCAGATTCAATTGGATATGCAAGGACAGTGCAGGGTAGTAGTGTGCTGACTTCACACAGTAAAATCGTGGGTTGGCTGATTTTGCAGCTTCACAACTATTGGCTCGTGAGATAACTCTGTTCCATAGCTGTGCTTTACTTGCTTGGTTGAGGGGCCTGATGTATTTATTTGGCTGCCAAGATTGAAATTTGAACAATACCATATTAAAATGATATTTCAGAATTATGGAAATGTAAGAGGATCATGTGTGATAATATTCAGCTGGAACTGCTTAGTGGCTGGCTACAGAATAAGGCCTGAAGTTTGTCCAGGACCCACCTCTCTGTATCCATTTTATTCCTGTACCTTCCTGAGTTCCAGACATGTTCAAGTTGTTCTCTTTCATCTAGTTCTTGAAGAATTTGGCAGTAGCTTAAAAATACTCTGAAAGAATGCTATCCTTTTTACTTTTTCTAATGAAATTAAAGTGTAATCGTATAGGTTCAAAGTTGACACATTGATGCTTGTATGACCCTGCGAAAAGGAAAGCTTAAAAAATGATTTTTGTATTCATGATTCCAATTCCAGGGGTATTATTCAAAATCTTATTTCTAACACATTATCCTGAGGTGCATATTATTAATGCAGCAGATATTTTTCCTTTTAGCGTCCCAAAATGAAAGAAGGTTTTAGAATAGATTTGCTGCCAAAGGAGGAGCTGAATTTGAATTTGTGCCACCCCCAGCACTCACTAGTGGGAATTCCAACCCAGTCAAGGGTATCCTCTTTGCTCCCCAACCGGGCCTGTTCCCAGCCATAGATTGCATGTGTGCCAGTGGTTGCTCTGACCTAGCTTGGCATAATCCCTCAGCTCTCTTGGCCTTTGCCTTAGATGCTGCAGCCTGGCCTGGCCCAGTCTGCCCCCCATCCTCTTCCTGATTCTTGCTGGTGGGCGGTAGAACCTGACCCTGCTCTGCCTATTCCCAACCCTGGCGCATGCAAACCAGTAGGTGTAAGAGCCTATCTTGGCATAACCTGTGCTCCATCCTGATTTCTGTTCTTGCTGATGAGCTAAGGTTTGCTCAGCTCTGCCCAGTCCACCCCCATTAGCCAACTTGCACATTAGCCAACAGTTGGAGCTACTTTGTTCAGCTTGCCTGATGACCAAGCCTGGAACAGTGATCGTCAGTGAGAGTTATGACCCACTAGGGAAGTATCCAGAGTTTTCCCACTTGACCCACTCCCAGATCCAGATCTCATAGATGCCAGTGGTTGTTAGGCTAGTGCCCTGCATAATCTGCCCTTCCATCTTGGCCTTGTATGAACTGGTGAATGTTGCAATCTGGCCTGCCTCACACCCTGTTTTAGGATGCATGTGCGGGTGCTGCAGCCTGGACCTGCCACATTGTTGTGGGTCCCTTTACCCATGAGTAACGGCAGGTTCCATAGTCACACATAGCTTAGTCCATCACCACCCCAACTCTTGAGCTAACCAGTGGGACTTGTATTTACACAGGGTTGACCCTCCTGTCCCCGAATCTACCCCAGGATCTGGTTCTGTTGTGTGCTGGCTAGTGTCATGGCCCTGCCCAGTGTGACCCATTCCCTGATCCAACATTCTGTCAGGTACTAGGATCTAGCCCTGCTAGACAGACCCCCCAGTCTTAGCTTTCACATGGACTGGTGTGTGTGTGTGGTGGTCAGTATTGTTTGGTGGTAACAAGTCCTACACAGGACTCACAAGTGGGCTAGTGTCAATCTGACCCATACAGATCATCTGGTCTCTTCCCTTCAATCCACCAGGTCTCAGTACCCTTGCTTACCTTCAAGGAAAAGTTACCTTGTTGTTGGGAGTCCCCCAGGATTGATTCCGCACCAACATGGATAGTGGCCTCACTCATGGACATACCTAGGCAGCAATTCCACACCTCCAACCCCCAGATCTTGCCACTGGGTAGCCAGCAGGCAGAGCCTGATGCCAATTGGCACACTGGCTGCCTAGGACTCACTGTGTGGCAGCAGTGGTTGTGGCCAGGTCCCCAAGAATTGAGTCCAACCTTGCTTGGGTACTCCCAGCAGGTGTTAGGCTGCTGGAAGCTCTCTGCACCCAGGCCCTGAGGTTGAACTTCCCTAGGTCCCTCTCACTGCAGGATGTTGGTGGCAGGTGGAGCTTAGGCCCGCCTTTGTTCTCAAGAGATCTCCTCCTAGCATACTCACTAGGGAGGGAGATGCCTCTTGGGCCCAGGCAGGCACACAACTTGCTCACTGTGTACTGACTATTAGGTGTCTTTTTGTTTCTGTAAGTTTTGGAATGAGTTTGTTGATACCTGTAAAGAATTTGCCAAAGTGTTAATTAAGAGTGCAATAAAACTACAGATAAAATTCAGGAAAGTCATGGCATCATTATCTTCTTATCACCCATAATGCAATAGTTGCCCATTTATTTATTCAATTTCTTTCAACACCATTTTGCTGTTTTTTTTATATGCTTCTACTTACTGTATTGTAGTTCCTCTAATCATTGCATTTTTAGAAGGAGTGTTAATGTAAAACTTATTGTCCAGTTAATTTCAAATCTTACTGTTCATCACAGGTAAATATGGGAATACTATTGGCTTTTGTATGGTTGGGTTTATATCATCACATGAATTCACTGTAATCACTTATTAATTCTAGGAATCTTTTGGTCAATCTTTAGGCTCATCTATACAGACCATCTGTGAACAGAATTTTATTTCTTTTGTTGTTCCTTCCATCTTGTTAACATACATTTTTTTCATTTTAGTGTTTTGTTGTGTTATCTAAATCTTCCAGAATAGTGTTAAAAAGCAATTGTGAAAAGGTAAAAATCTACCATTTTCTTGATCTTTGAGGGGAAGATTCAAGTTTCTCAATTAAGTATAAATTTAGCTTGTAGGTTCAGTCTTGTTGATATTCTTTATCGAGTGAAAAAGTTCTCTAAGTCTGCATTATTAAGAGTTTTAAAAAATATTTTAAATTGTCTCATTTACATAAGGTGAACCAATTTGATGTATTTCACACTAAACATTTAGGAGCATAGAGATACTTCTCACCCTACCCCACCCCCGCCTGAATCTGTGTCTCCCACATGAATGAGAGAGACACAATTACTCAAATTGTCACTGGTTGCGCCCAAAATGCCCAATTCACAGAGGCTGGAGTTGAGACTCAAGGCAGGAGTGTAACCCAAGTACTCCGACATGGGATGTGGTTATCCCCAGGGGTGTCCTAGGCACTGAACCAAGCACTCAGATCCCATTCGTTGATTTTCAAATGTAGAACCAGTGACTTGTAATTAGGATAAATCTCATTTACTGCAGTGCATAGTTATTTTAGTTGTACAAAGTAAAAAATGCAAATACATTTGTTTTGCTACACTTGCTGAAGGCTTTGGCACTTATGTTCATGAGAAATATGTCTGTAATTTCCCTGTAATGTAATTGACTGTTGGTGTTAGGTTGATGCCTGCCACATTGAATGAGTTAGAAGGCTTCCAGTATGTTTTTATCTTCTCATAGATTGTAAGAAGTGTAATAATTTATCACTTATATGTGTAGAAACTTTCACCAGTGAACTCATTCAAACCTTGTGATTTCTGTTATGGAAGACTGTTAATTATTGATTTATTTTAATAACTGATTTATGGCTCATCTGACCTCAGAAGTGCAGCAACTTCCTTGAATACAACACTGCCCCTGGAGAAAATGGAACCCCCAGTGGAACCGCCTCTAAGAACTGAAAAACTAAATTTGTTTAATATTCCTCTTGT